ACCCCTTTCCGCGTTTCCCCAGAAAAAAAAAGAAAGGATTTAAGAATAAAGCACTGCAGCTTGCAGTTTGACAGCCTTGTACTCCCATACGTACAGTCGTACAGCCTTGTGCCCCCATACGTACCGTCAGACTCTGAACAAAAGTTAAATTTGCCCTCCCCCCCCCCCCCCCCCCCCCCCCGCGGCTCTTAGAAGTTCCGTGGTTTTGTTTGCGGCTCTTAGGCCAGGCCAGCCTGGCCACCCCTGGTCTATACCAAAATGTAATCTGCAAAAAAGCTGCTTGAAGCTTTGTACTTTTTTACCTATTACGTCCAAGCTGATTACATTTTTTTGTGATTATATTTCTATTACGTTACTAGAGCCTCGCACACTAACTCCCGAGTGTGCGATGCAAATTTCAAATGAGATATCCAGATACCCGCTGCAGGTGCCCTGAAGTCGCTGACCCAAATATCGAGGAATGTATTTGGGAAAGTATTTGGAGGAGACCAAATACATTTGGTTGTATTTGTATCTTGTACTTGAATACTTTTTTCGAAATGTAATTAGATTTGTAATTAAATACATTTTTGACGAAGTATTTTGTATTTGTATTTCGATACACATTTGCATGTATTTTGCCCATCCCTGTTTGTTGGTCTATACCAAAATGTAATCTGCAAAAAAGCTGCTTGAAGCTTTGTACTTTTTTACCTATTACGTCCAAGCTGATTACATTTTTTTTTTTGTGATTATATTTCTATTACGTTACTAGAGCCTCGCACACTAACTCCCGAGTGTGCGATGCAATATTCAAATGAGATATCCAGATACCCGCTGCAGGTGCCCTGAAGTCGCTGACCCAAATATCGAGGAATGTATTTGGGAAAGTATTTGGAGGAGACCAAATACATTTGGTTGTATTTGTATCTTGTACTTAAATACTTTTTTGGAAATGTAATTAGATTTGTAATTAAATACATTTTTGACGAAGTATTTTGTATTTGTATTTCGATACACATTTGCATGTATTTTGCCCATCCCTGTTTGTTGGTCTATACCAAAATGTAATCTGCAAAAAAGCTGCTTGAAGCTTTGTACTTTTTTACCCATTACGTCCAAGCTGATTACATATTTTTGTGATTATATTTCTATTACGTTACTAGAGCCTCGCACACTAACTCCCGAGTGTGCGATGCAAAATTCAAATGAGATATCCAGATACCCGCTGCAGGTGCCCTGAAGTCGCTGACCCAAATATCGAGGAATGTATTTGGGAAAGTATTTGGAGGAGACCAAATACATTTGGTTGTATTTGTATCTTGTACTTAAATACTTTTTTGGAAATGTAATTAGATTTGTAATTAAATACATTTTTGACGAAGTATTTTGTATTTGTATTTCGATACACATTTGCATGCATTTTGCCCATCCCTGTTTGTTGGTCTATACCAAAATGTAATCTGCAAAAAAGCTGCTTGAAGCTTTGTACTTTTTTACCTATTACGTCCAAGCTGATTACATTTTTTTGTGATTATATTTCTATTACGTTACTAGAGCCTCGCACACTAACTCCCGAGTGTGCGATGCAAAATTCAAATGAGATACCCAGATACCCGCTGCAGGTGCCCTGAAGTCGCTGACCCAAACATCGAGGAATGTATTTGGGAAAGTATTTGGAGGAGACCAAATACATTTGGTTGTATTTGTATCTTGTACTTAAATACTTTTTTGGAAATGTAATTAGATTTGTAATTAAATACATTTTTGACGAAGTATTTTGTATTTGTATTTCGATACACATTTGCATGTATTTTGCCCATCCCTGTTTGTTGGTCTATACCAAAATGTAATCTGCAAAAAAGCTGCTTGAAGCTTTGTACTTTTTTACCTATTACGTCCAAGCTGATTACATTTTTTTGTGATTATATTTCTATTACGTTACTAGAGCCTCGCACACTAACTCCCGAGTGCGCGATGCAAAATTCAAATGAGATACCCAGATACCCGCTGCAGGTGCCCTGAAGTCGCTGACCCAAATATCGAGGAATGTATTTGGGAAAGTATTTGGAGGAGAACAAATACATTTGGTTGTATTTGTATCTTGTACTTAAATACTTTTTTGGAAATGTAATTAGATTTGTAATTAAATACATTTTTGACGAAGTATTTTGTATTTGTATTTCGATACACATTTGCATGTATTTTGCCCATCCCTGTTTGTTGGTCTATACCAAAATGTAATCTGCAAAAAAGCTGCTTGAAGCTTTGTACTTTTTTACCTATTACGTCCAAGCTGATTACATTGTTTTGTGATTATATTTCTATTACGTTACTAGAGCCTCGCACACTAACTCCCGAGTGTGCGATGCAAAATTCAAATGAGATACCCAGATACCCGCTGCAGGTGCCCTGAAGTCGCTGACCCCAAATATCGAGGAATGTATTTGGAAAAGTATTTGGAGGAGACCAAAGACATTTGGTTGTATTTGTATCTTGTACTTAAATGCTTTTTTGGAAATGTAAGTAGATTTGTAATTAAATACATTTTTGACGAAGTATTTTGTATTTGTATTTCGACACATATTTGCATGTATTTTGCCCATCCCTGGTGCCACTACCGATAGTTTTGCACCACTAGAGCGAACACAGTTGCCGCAACGCCGCTTGCCTCGTTTCGCCCAAACTCCCTTCTTCGTCATCACTGAAAGCTGAACCAAAGTTGGGATGGTAAGCGCTTGGCCTAGTTGGTGTCCCATTTGAAAAAAATAAAGCGAGAAAAAGAAGAGGGAGCCACGCAAACTACCAGTGTCGCAAAACTATCGATAGTAAACCGTCGGCAGTACTATCGATAGATTTACGATAGTAGACTATCGATAGTTTTCCAATAGTCGATTAACGATAATTTTCCGATAGTCGACTATCGATAGTACTATCCGAAGCTTTTCGGTAGTCAGCTCTCGATAGTACAATCGGGAGTGTTTCGATAGTCGACTATCGATAGTACTATCGAGTTTTTTTACTATCAAGAGTCAGATATCTTTCGACTATCGAGACTATCGATAGTTTTGCACCGCTACTATTAGAACAGCAAGCCATCACTGTTGTATTGCGGGTGAGGTAGCTAATTTGGATAACTTGATTAAAAAATTAAATGAAAACTCGAAAGCGTTTCGGTACGTGAACGCTGACGCGAGATCGCTGTAATCCGTCATTTCATGAAGCATTTCAAAGGTCCACCGGCGGCATTGGTTCATCTTGGGCATTGCTTCCCGCGCGAAGTATGGGATTGGATGCGAGTTGAAGCCGAGCGTGGACGCAGGTCTCCTGTCCAATGCATGCACTAAATATGGCGGCCTCAGAACAACTACCAAAAGGCGGGCTCTGTTGGAAAAAAAAGAAAAGAGAGAGAAAAAAAAGAAGAAATAGAGCATTGCTTTTAGTCTTCTATATTCATAGTAGACGGTGCGACCGATATAATAATAAAATAAATAAATAAAAAGAAACGCCGGGCGAGACGAAATGGTACGAACACAGCATACGGATTTCTTTCTTTTTTTTTTTTAAGAAATTTGAGAATACCTTCTTTTTTTTAGTTTACCTTGTAAGAAATGAAGTTTTCACCTTCAGACACGTTCGTAGAATACACATTTCATAACTTACACACAATATAAATAAATTATAATTTATAAGTCATTTGACAGAACTCATTTTAGGAAGACACCAGATAACGGATAACAAACACAGGGTGTTCATGCTCACATGGCAAAACATAAAAAAGCGGGGGGGGGGGGGGGGGGGGGGGGGGGGGGGTGTATGCATGTTTAAAATATGGCGACCTCGGAACAACTACTGGAGCGCGCACGCTTTTGAAAAACATAATATATATTTCTATAGTGTGTATAGTGCATCTTTTCAAATGTTTCATATATTCATAGTAAACAGTGCGAGCAATATAACGACCATAAAAAAAAATAGAAAGAAACGCCGGGAGTGACAAAATTGTGCGACATGTTGTTTATTGGGTCAACACAGCATGCGGTGGAGAGGAATGTTTTTTGAATCAACAGAATATTGTTCACAGCCTTATTGAGCAAGCCGAGGTATATTTTGCGACGTGCCAAACTGGCTAATTAATACAGGCGACCTGCGCTAATGTTTCCAACCCTCCAGTCGAAGAAACTGAGATATAGAGAACTACATCTACTCCGCAAAGTCACATAACCGGGACGAATGTCTCGCGCTTGCTTCTATTGCCCGAGAGGCCCATTCAGATAGTCCATGTGACTGTTAAAGAAACGGACCAATGTGCCATAGCCATGAACGAACGCAACTCCGGGTGCTAAAATATGTAGCGAATAGAACGACGCGAACGGCGTTCACCACCCTTCTGTGCGCGATGAAACAATACTGAAAGGGGGCTCAAAGCGCAGTTTACTCTTTAAATCGACGTCTGTTATTTGCACTAGTTGAAGCTTGATTCACACGATGCGGAGTTTGCAGCTGCAACGTCATTTGCACGGCAAGAAGAAAAAAAAGAGAAAAAAAGAAGAGCGTGGTAAACGCTGCGATGAGTTACTTCGCAACTGCGAAGTCGAAAGCAAAATCGCACCATGCGGTTTTTTAAATAAGTTTGTGCGGTGCCAGTCGCGGGGTACTGCGAAAGTCCGTGCTACTTCGGCTGCGCAAGCCCGCGGGCGATCCAGACCCGCCTTCCTCGTTCAGGAGTTTTTCTGGCATCGAACCGCAAAAGTCGTCGCCCTTTCGCTGAAATCTCGTGTGCGAGTGTGGAGCCCGACACGTTCTTTCATTACGGACGTCCCAACGACTGATCTCGTCCGATCCGAAAACGTCAATTGTTGGATCCGACACGCAACCCACTTTTGGGTCCGCGCTCGGTGCGTCTGTGTCAAGAACCCGAAAGGTCGTCGCGCCGATTGTTACGGAGCACAAGTCCGCGAATGGGATCGAAGGTAAGTACTGCATTCGTCGTAGATAACAGCGAGGACTTGGGGACTCACCGCAGCCGCGGATGACGAGCGTCAGAGCGATGCAGCAGCTGAGCAGCGTCGGCAGCGTCGGCCTCCTTCGCGTCGTCGGATCGGTGGACGCACAGCGGACACACCGTTCACGACGGCACTCCATGACGCCGTCCGTGCGGTCGGGGCCCGTCGATTCGGGGCCCTTCGCTTCAGGGCTGCATGCCGAGCCCCTGCGCCGCTGCTGGGGCCGCCCCGAAGGAGACGGGAGGCCTTGTTCGGTCCCCGCACTGCATCGATCGCACACAGCGCCGACTCCCCTCTCCAGGGTAGTCTACCGGGAGTGCCGCTGAAGACCGACGGCCCCGTCCCCTTGACAATGGACGACCGGAGACTACGCCTCGTACCACCGATCGCACGGCGTTGTATCCGCACGCGATCGAGCCAACCAAGCTCCCTTCGGAAGCACGGACACGGATCCACGGATCACAGCTTGGAAGCACAGAGGCACGCTGAACAGCACGGACGCACAGCCACACCGCAAACCACCACGGAAAACAATTCGCGCGTTATGCGGATAAGCATCGCCATCTAGTTGGAAGAGCTGGGACTACGGTGTTTGGAACTTGGACACTTCCCTCGGAATGGCAATAAATGACGTCACAAAAGCCGGCATGTCAGTTGCTGGATGTGGTAATCCTGGCGGTCGGTGCTTGAAATATTGGCGTGTTCCAAAATTTGCTTTATCTTACTGCAGGGTAAGGGGCTTGTCCCTGTGCGTTCGAAAACTCACTCGCGTTCAGCTTTATTTGTATTATCAAGTGACACGCCCGCCGGAGTCAGGGGCCGGAGTAGCTCGGGACCACAGTGCTCGGGACCACTGATCTCATAGCGAGTTCGTTTCACGGCACTCGTGCCCACGCGTGCCCACTCGCAGCGTGGAACGGGTTCGTTTCGGCCGGCGCTCCACGAGTGGTTGCACTCTCCGAGTTCGTTTCAGCGCTGACACCCCACGCGTGCATGCACTCGCTGCACCGAGAAAATCGGGAGTGCGCCAAAATGCAATACCGTCATGCCTCGCTCCGGCGGGGCCGGCGAGGAGCGGGAGCAGACGACGAGGGTTCGTCTGCTACGGTGTGTCGCGGAACCGAACGGAAAAAAAAAAGTAGATTTTCTGATTTAATAGGTTAAGGTTTAAAAGGTTCAGTATGAACCAACTCGCCCAAACACAAGTTTTAATTCAATAGATTTTCTGATAGAAATCGCGTCCCGCGGGCAACGAAATCAAACGCGAGCTTGAATTGTGAGCGTCTGCTATTTCACGAAGGAAGCAATGCGGAGGGCAAGTTCGTCTGCTTCTTGCGCAGGGGGGTAGCGGTGACGTCAGAACGCCGAGCCCTGATTGGCTGATCGCGACCCCCTATCTGAGCGTCGTCTGCTCCTTTGCAACGTCGTCTGCTCGCAACGTCGTCTGCGTCTGTCTTACCTTTCCTGCGACTTTCGGAAGTGCACAGGCCAATCTTACGCCAAAAATGTGCGTAAGACAAAACTTCAGAACAAATTCGTATTCACGAAACGAAATTTTCGTAAGTTTTGCGCAGGTTACGACGAAACCCTACGACAGCTCCGAAGCTGTCTTGCGCACTTCTTACGATCAAATCAGCATGGCCGACAGCTTTGCGGTCGCGACGGCCCACGGACGTTTATTTTTCTACGTGTGCTTCTCACGCGTCCCGACTTCAAGCGGCAAGAAAAAAGTAAAAAGTGCTTGAAACAGACCCGACGAACAAGAACGCTGGATCCACATACACCCAGGAAAAGCTCCAACGGCCACGATTCCACCGAACGCGACCAAGCGAGCGCGGCAGTTAGGCCTAGCAGGCACTCCGCGACTCGGCGACCGTCTGCCCGCGACCGGCTGGCGTGCTGAAGGGAATATGCCCGAGCGACCCTTGTGAACCCTTCTCGTATTATACTTTGATCGCTGATCTCAATTTTAGATTAAGAGGTCAATTTCTTCTTCTTGTTATCTCCTTGTTTCCCGAGGCAACGGTGACTCGCCGGCGAAAAAGCGGTGAATCTCCGGCAGACGCAGGAAAGGTAAAGCAGCCATCGCTTTGACTAGCAGACGTAAAGCAGAGGACGTTAACTGCGCCAACCCGCCGACGCCGTTAAATAATGAGGGGTCTCGCCGCACACGAAAGGAGGGAAAAAGTATTAGGGAGGAAACTTGCGGACACTAACACGCTCACCTCTCGGTTCTTAGCAAACAAACCTCGGCGCCTCGGGACACTTCGCCAGTGAGTCCTTTGACTTCCCTCCTTGATGCGCGTCTGCTAGTTGTTAGACAAAAACAACGTACCGCTCGAGTTATTTCGTCTGCCCTCTCTGAAAGGCGAAGTCGAGCCCGCTCGTAAAGACCTGCACTTCCGAAAGTCGCAGGAAAGGTAGGACCCACGCAGACAACGTTGCAAAGGAGCAGACGACGCTGAGATAGGGGGTCGCGACCAGCCAATCAGGGCTCTGCGTTCTGACGTCACCGCTACTTCCTTTCTCATGCGCAGAAGACGAAAATGAGCCCACTTGCGAGGCGTATTGACAACCCGTGATTTATTTGCAGGTTTTAAATCGCTATGTTGCCGTACAAACGCTGAAATATACCACTGTGTAAAGAAATGCTCAGAACCAACGCAACAGCGGCCCCCGAGATGTTTATCACCATCCATGTACGGGTGAAAAATTTAACATTTGTCGATAAAACTCCTCCAGCAGAAACCTCTGACTGCCCAATAAGCATCAGAGAAATTTAAAGATGCTGACTTTAACCGAGGATTGGGCAACATCATCATGTTTAACATTTATCTACGCAGCGAACTTGCCCCGTCGTATTTCGTTCGAGAAAGCTCTCGTTCTCGACACCCTCACCAAGGCTAATATCTAATCCACCTATAATGACGATCCAAATCGAAAGTCCCAGTTTTGCTGGATATTCCAACAGGCTAGTTTTAAGCCGTACCCTTTCAGTGGTTCACGCATAATACCATGCTCAAACGGATCAAGCTTCTGCTCGGACAGTATCATCAGTTTTCTTCAGTGTAAACGGTTATAAGGATTGAAAGATCGCAACCAGCTGCTTTGGTTGCGGAAATTTACGCCGCCTGTAACTATCTCTACGGCAGCCGAGCTGCTTGAAGACATAGCAACTATAAACTACAGGTTGCAGTTGCCAACGTTTGTAGATAAACATTGGTAGCGACTGTATTCTCGCATGCACGCATCACTCGGAACAGAAAGGCGCTAGTTTCGGTTTGAAGTCGGTACCTTTTCTACAACATAGATGGCGGCAGCATCAGTATTCTGCACTTGGTGCATTTGGCGAGTTCGTTTGAGTCCAGTTTTCCGTGCAACACTCTGCGAGTGCGATGCATTCTGGGAGAGAACTCGAACGGTGCCACTGCGTGTGAAACGAACTCGCTATCAATGCTTTTCGCACACAGCCACGGAACGCAAGTGTCGCCGTCGTCGCGGAGTCCCAACACTTGACTGTTGAATCTTCCGTGAACTGTGAAGCTGGAGACCTACAGCCTACAGCAGAAAAGGCGTTTATAATTCTCACCATCGCTGTGTGACGCCGCGACGCTGCCAGGACCGTTGACCGGGATCGCGGCAGGCGAGGCCGAAGACAATCACTAAATAGTTACTCTAGCGACAACATGACATTTTTATGACGTCATGAAACAAAAATTGAGGAACCCCTTTTTGGACGCACCAACCTTGTTTGCAGCACTGTAGTCGGGGCCACACCATCCACACCATGGGCCACACCAGTGGGCCACACGTACCAGAAGTCGGAGATGGTGGAGCTAGGCAACTGTAGTGGTTGGTTCAAGGCACCGAAAATAACCAACCGGTGGTTTCGGGAAACACCAAAACGTAGAAGGGTCCTGTCTATTTTCTGTCCCTTCTTCGTTTTAATGAATTTCTTCTACTGCAGTCTCAGGGTAATTCAAAACGGATAAATATACTGCAACGTGCGCGGCCCGTCAGGTGGACTCGGGGGCGTATATTTCCAAAACACCAAAACCTTCCCCAAACGGGACCGATTTTCGGGACGTCGCAAGGGGATGGGCGTGGTTAGTACTGTCGGTACTGTCAAACCGTGTCAAACCAAAATCCGCTTGAAACAGGGCGAGCGCCCCATGATAGGTGGCGCAAAATGTCGCCTGATTAAAAGGGCTCAGCCACATGCTTTCATTCATTCACCGCTGTCTCTTGTCTGTCCGTTTTCGACAGCTTTTGCTGGCTTTTGCCGCTTTTGCAGTTGGCTCATGCACTTGTTCCTGCGCTGTGCTGCCCGAATGCCTGCGCGTACTCAAGCGTGCGGAAACCCACACACCTGTCTCCGCGCGCTCACCGCTCAACGCCGGAGCCCGTACTGCCCGTACCTCGTCCACGGGCCCACACCGCCGGTTCCGGCAGGTCCCTTCCCCGCTTCCTCAGTGCGCACACCGCCGCGACGCCGCGAACCGACAGCGGCGACGAGGACTGTGGTTCCGCACGTCCACGCGCGGAGAGTACCAGCGCCGCAAAAATCGACTGATCGTGCGGAAATTTGGCGTCGACCGCGACTCTTGGCAGCTGGCGCTCCGACACGGTTCGCCGACGAGATGCGCGTCTCCCCGTTTGACTGCTGAGAGCGTTTGACACGAGGATGCCCGTCGACCGCCGCGGTGGGCTGGCCTCGTCGCTGTGGCCGGCGCTCTGCGTGCTGCTGTGCTGTCCCGTCCCGACGCCCAGCGCCAGCGGCCTGGACGATGTGACCAGGCTGGCCGAGCTGGCCCTGGCCCGATACCAGCCCCCGTTCAGCCCGGCTGCCAACGTCACCGAGAGCCTTCTCGCGCTGCTCGGAGCCCTGCAGGGATCTAAGCTGACCGGCACCCTCGGCGCCGTCAACTGCACCAACGCGGACGGACTGGGCGCCGTACTCTGCGGCGCCGGCTCGGAGGTGAGCCGCTTTCTCGGGAAGAATCCGCCGAATCCACTTCGAGCCCGAACGGGTGCCGGAACGACGGTCCGCGAACTTTGCTACCAGCGCGAGCTGCTTGCGTCTGGTGGGATAGCGGCTCAATTGCGCGAGCGCTCGTGTCGCGCCAGCGTCGGTCACTGGTGCCCGCTCGAGCTTGTAGCCTCTGCGGCAACGTTACCAGCTTTGCGATTAGCTGCCGCGCTTGTAGGCTTTGCTTCTGTTCGTCGCTGTCGAGGCATACGAGAACCCGTATTCTTGAGTTGTGACGCATGTTAACGTTTCGCAGAAACGCCACGTGTGAGGCTCAGAATCCTTATCTTGCCTCGTCGTCTCGTTCTTGCCTCGTCGTCGGGCTTCATCTTGGCATACGACAGTCTGGCAAGCTTGTTTCCTCCACTCAGCTTGGCAAAACGTTCTGGGCCTTGCAGTGGATACTGGGCAACAGTACATTAGAATTGGAAGCTATAGTTAGTTTATCATTTTCTGAATAATAAGCTTCAATTCACCCCAGGAACATTGAAGTGTGCTGTGCTTTGTTTCACAGTAACTTGCCAAACAGCAAATGCTATGGCCCTTTCGGGCCAATAGACCCTCCGCTGAATCCCCCAAGTGCCCCGGCCCGCACTCGAGGAATCATGGGAACGTAGGTCCTTCAGCTCCATAGTGATTGGTTATTTTGACCGATTCAATGGTTATGCAGTTTTGAGTGTTATTCGGAGTCACCCTGAACAAGTGTCGTGTAGAGTCCAAGGACCTGTCCTATCACTTTTAGAATTTCTCTTCAATGTCAGAATTTTTTATACTGTGCCCTTCAACCCGGCTGAGCTGCAGAAATCTCTTATAATATTATCATTCTCGTACACCTTGAAAGATGCTAAAATTACATTAGAAACACTGAAAAGGCTATAAACAGGCCCAATGACCCCGAGCTAAATCCTGGTTTTGGTAGTTGTGGATTCTTGGGTTTTAAGCAATTCCTGCTAAAACAACAATCACGAGAACAATAAGATTGTAAGAGATTTCTGCAGCTAAGCTACGTTGAAAGGTGAATTGCATGCACAGGATCAAATACATTGACATTGACGAGAAAATTTAAGTGACATGACATGCCCTTGGACACTACACAACGCTTGTTCATGGTGTCTCAGATTACACTCAAAACTGTGTAACCATCAATTTGGTCGAAATTACCAATCACTATGGAGATTCCTCAAGTGTGGGCTGGGGCACATGAGGGATTTAGCAAAGGGTCTATCGGAGCAACAGAAGTGAAGTGACAGCAATTGCCAAAGGTACAGGGGACGAGTGCATAACCTAAGTAGTTCGAGAACTCTTTTTTGTGTATCCTAAACATAACTTTTCTCTTTCTAGAAGATTAGACCGTCACTCAAAATTCATGTAAACACGTCTTTCCTCTTTCTCCCACTTTGACCACAATGCGCGTCTCCCTCTGACGTGATGATTGGGTTGCTGGGACCATAGCCTTTGCTGTTTTCAAACTTATGGTGAGACAATGTATAAAAAGATCAAAGACCCATACCAGTAGACGTACACCAAATTAATGAGGAAAAAAAAAGAATAGGGGGTGTACGGGGTTATTATGATGCTTGGATGCTATGCGGTCTTGGTGACATAATGTTTTTATGCCCTCTGGCTCATACAAGCAGAAGTCTCTGACGGAGCGATGGAGGGAGCACCACAGCGATACATTGCTCAGGTGGAAGGAATGGCGGTGGCTCTGGGTGCGTCCGAGGATGGAGGTCAGGTTGTTGTCTCTTGTGTGGATGATCTGAGAAGCCAGTGGTTGGGGGCACTGGGAAGTCTAAGCATAGTCGGCAGGAGTCTGAGGTATTCTGTGTCGTACTGCCCAGGGAAAGGCTGCCAGCACACTTCATGGAATTGTTCCTCTGTTCGCATGTTCCTGTAAAAACGGGCTGGGCAGCTAACCTGGCAAACCACGGTATATGCTTAGCGTCCTTCGTTTTCGGGTAAAACCCGATATTTCCCGATTATTAACGCCCAAGCACTTTTCTTGAAAATTGGGGTCAAACCCGATTTTTCCTAAATTTAGAAATTGAATTTTATCATTTTTCAAATTTCTCCACTTTGAAATTGTTTCCTTGGAAACAAAGAGTTGCTAGGAATGCGTGCGCTAGCTTCAGACTTCGGAAAGGAACCTACCGTAATATCCAAAGAGATGCCCCACCCCTGAAAGATAATCAGCTCCATGTTTTTGGCCATGACTTACTATTTTTCCAAAAAAGCACCGAAAGATAGCCCACTTCTAGTAATTGCAGGTCCTTGTCCAATGGTGACCTCAGCAGAAATGGTGCTGCTTAGCCACGGCAGGAAATAAGCAAACATTGCTGACTGGGAAAGGCAGTTAGTTTTTGGTTCATTGTCCCCCCTATATATCTGTCTACTTATAATATAAAAAAAAACCCCTTAATTCCAGGATAATTTCTTGAAAAATCCGATTTCTCCCCGATAAACAGCCTGAAACAAAGCACCTAGTTTTTAAAAAAAATATAAAACCCGAAAACAAAGGACATTACCTTGCTGCACGTCTTTGCAGACTCATCAGTTGTGCGACTCGAGTGTCCTGGTAGGGGACCAAGGTTTGGACAGGGTATTCGAGCTGGGATCGCACGAGGGTGGCGTACAGCAGTCCTGCTGCGTGTGGCCAAAGCATGCCACTACTGTCTCACCTTCCTGGTAGCAGACAAGGAAGCGTGGCGCAAGTCGGAAGAATGAAACACCGTGCTGGTCGGAATGACGACTCAAGAATATGCTTTGATTCTTGGGTTCACTTTCGTCATGCAAAGGATGTGTGGTGGCTAGTGATGCAAAACTATCTATAAATTGTTTATCGATACTTTTTCCAAAGCTATCAATGGTGTCGAAGAACTATCAATAGTTTTTCGATAGTTGACTTTGATAGTACTATCGATAGTTTCTTCATAGTCAACTATCGATAGTATTATCGCTAGTTTTTCGATAGTCGACTGATAGTACTATCGATAGTTTTTCCATAGTCGACTATCGATAGTACTATCGATAGTTTTCGATAGTCGACTTCGATAGTGCTATCAATAGTTTTTTCATAGTCGACTATCGTAGTATTATCGATAGTCGACTTTGATAGTACTATCGATAGTTTTTCCATAGTCGACTATCAATAGTTTTTCAATAGTCGACTTCGATAGTACTATCGATAGTTTTTTGATAGTTTTTTTTACTATCGATAGTCAGATTTCTGGTGACTATCGATACTATCGATAGTACTATCGATAGTTTTGTGCTACTAGTGGTGGTGCACGTCGGTTGGGCTCTTTGGCTACCGGGCGGAACAGGACTGCTGGGGCAGAGATGCGTTTTGATAGTAAACCGAAGCCTGGAAATGCATCCATATTAAATGTTTTCTTCGGAACGCCGTAAATCACTATTCGTGTTATGTCTTTTTGTAGAGTGCACTAATTGGAGGTTGTCAATGATGCCCAGAAAGTTTCGAATTAAAATTATATGTCTTAATTTATTACCTAAAAAGGTAATTTCTTTAAAGTAATTACAAGTCTAATTAATAATTATACCGAACATTATTAGTTTTCCTAATAGACCTTTTGGCCGAAATCTGTAGCTCCTTTTTTCTGTGGTGCATACTTTTTTCAGGAGCGATTTGGCCTGCATTTCGAGAAACTGTATATCGGGTGTTTCGGTGAACACTTTAAAATATTCCTACCAATAGGGTGGTTTAGAAAAAAGGAAACTATTTTTCGGAACAAACTGCCAGCCATGGTGGATGTCTGCGATTGCAAAGAATACACTAATTGGCAAAATAATTAACTAAAAGTTACTAACTTTTAATTAGTGAAAATAAATATGTTTCCAATGAGATACCTGCTAAGTATCATCTAAAACACCTAAATCAGTCAATTTTAGGAAGACTTAAAGGGATGCTGAAGTGAAATTGGGATTTCACAAAATAAGGTAGCGAGAGTGTTTAATGGGGCGCCACAAACCCCAAAAACCCTTCTCATAAAGTGGTATCTCGAACGGATGGACATATTTTTGTAAAATAAGAATGTATATTGAGTGAGAATCGCGACATCACGTTTCCTGCAGAATTGTTGAGGAGGAGGGGAAACGGCCTTGCTTCCTTCTCTCTTCGCGTCCTCGCGGAGTCGAAGCGAGAAGAGGAGGAAATGAGAATCACAATGTCACGGGCCTTTTTGGCCTTGTTCAAGCGCGCACTTCTTTCACAAAAATACGACCATCCGTTGGAGATACCGCTTTATGAGTGATGCTTGCAAGTTTGTAGCACCCCGCTTAGCGCTTTCGTGTTGTTTTCTGAAATCAAAATTTCGGTTCAGCATCCCTTTAAAGGGATACTACAACGGAATTTCGGCGCTCATTTTTTGGTCTATACGTGTTCAAAGGAGCAGTATCACATCGAACACACCATTATCTTGTTAAAAAAGTCACGAAAAGGAATTTTAAAACGAATTAAACAATTAGCAAAGAGCACCTGGTGGATGTCACTAACGCCTCGCTTGTAATGCCCGTCCAGGAACCTTGACAGCTAGTGATGGAGCTTGTCTCGCCTCCGGCCACGACGAGAGAAGTGCAGGAGGAACTCCCCTCTTCCCGAGAATGCCTTTTGTGTGTCGCAGAAGTTGCTATTGTCCGCCTACAAGATTACAGAAGATTAACCGGTCACTCAAAATTCATACAAAAGCAGCCGCTTCGGTGGATGGAATGAGTAGACATCCTCTCGACGTCAGCCTCGCCGTAGCTTTGCTCGTCCTGAGATGACCTACGTCACGATTGCGTCGGATATCAGGTGGTCTCCGCTGGGCCTTCTCCGAGCGCTTGCCAGAGTGGGCCGTTTATAACGAAAAATACAGCCACCAGGCTCAAAATACAAACGTGCGATTGTCATTTACGGATATTGTGTATCATATTCAACCTATTTTTGAACA